GAGTTTTCAGCAATATTGCCCATTCTAGCTTTAGCATTTGATGAAGTTAGGAGATGTGCATGTTACTTAGAGCCAGGATATATCTTTTTCTTAGAAAGCTTATCTATGGAACATAGGGGAGGAAATTTTATGCTTGGCCTTTTAAATTATTCATTCACTGAACATTCGCACTAGTGCAAATGAATAAAACCCCTCTTCCTGAGCTGCGTCTGTAGTGGAGTATAAGCAGTCTCAGGAAATTGCTGTGGAGCACCTTCGGCCTTCCGTGTTCACATTTATCTCGAGTCTGAATACACTAAGTAGAGCAAGTGCTACGTGTGCTGCCTGCAGACATGGGGTGAAGTCAGATTCACATGAGGAGGGAAAAGCCTTACACACACACGGTGGATCGCCAGGGCTGTGCATGCCCTGACCAAGCAGAGAAAGGGTAGAACTGAGAGAGCCCTTTCACTTCCATGACACTTTGCACTCAATCCCAAAGTCTAAGTCAGGAGGTACTGCAGAGTCACGCCTATAATGGATACTAAATAATAAATATTTATTGATGATGGATATAAGAAGGTCTGGCAAGGCCTCTTTGTCCTTTGGAAAAAAATTGAGCCAGCTGATGGGATGTTTGCAATTAGTTTAGGACTCCAGAGAAGAGAGAGTGGAAAGGGAATTAATACACTTCCACATTCATACAATATTCCACCTTCTACACAACAGTATTTGATCTTCGTATCAAATTCTCCAAATGTAAAATTCTCTTAGTACTGTTTCAGGAGTTCAGAATCTTCCTAGAAATTTCTAGAGAATTTATTTGGTAGGTTCTCTCTTTTTATCAACCTTGAAATTTAGAGTCTCCTCTCATTTCTCTTACCTTAGCTTTTAAAGATTTTTCAAGCCTTTACAGTATATAATCTTCCACTTTTAAATGATTTTACTTTCTTTTTTTTTCAATTTTTAAATGAAGACTGAGGCATATATGCTTTTAGTATATAGATACTATTTTACATATGTATATTATAGATACATATTATTATAGATTATATTATGTGTTGTATCACTCCAGGAATTTCATGTGAATTTTACTTACTTTATTCTTTCTACTTACTTTACCAGGTTCTACTTAGTGTGGACAAAAGATGACGTAAAAGAAAGAACTGAAGCAACTTGTGGTGCTCACACATTATTGGTTTTTGTTTGCAGTAGGATAAACACACTTCATGAATATATAGTGTACGAGAGTGTATGAATATGTGCACACACACATTCCTTAATCAATACAATTTGGAATATGAAATATATGATTGTATTCAATTTATAGGAAAACAAATAAAGCGAAAGAGACACTCGTACTCCCACAGGGATTCTTCTCCCAAAGCAATTGGACATCTGAAGTCTTGGTTTGAGAAAAATCAATGGCTCTTTCAGGGCAGTGTATCTTCAGATGCGGGTGAGAGATGGAGGGCATAATGAAGGGAGAATTGCTGTGGAGGGGGAGGCGTGCACAGAAAAACATTCCTGAGAAAAGCTGCAACTTTGGTCCCTATAATTAACTATGCCAACATGTAGGCTATGGCATAAGTACCTGTGCATATTTATATCACTGAGAATTTCTGAAACCGTAAATAGAAATAATTTCTTTCTTATTGAACTCGTCCAGGGAGATTATATGGTTTCCCTTATGTGTGTTTGTGCCTGTATTTTACAGTTCAAATGAACAGGAACCATCATATTTGTAGTAGTGTGTAGTAGTGTGCAGTGTACCCAGGAGTGCTTAAAACACCATATGACTGCTTGCATTACGTGTTCATAAAATATTACTGCTAATGGAGAGTGGGGGCAGGGCTCTTTTGTTCCGGCATTATGGGATGACTTGACCTTTCTTGTATTGATCATTATGCTTGCATTCACCTACTCAAAAACATTTCAGCTAGAAGCTCTATTTAGGAAATAGAACTAGTTAGCCGTTACTCTTTCAACAGCACACACACAGCTGAAATTAAGCCTAATTTATTCACATTGTAGATGTTCTTATTTAGGTTAAAAGCAAGCAACTGTTTGCAAGATGACTGTGTAAACTTTAAAAATATTTCTACTTATCCTTAACCGTAGTCCTTGTAGAAGCTTCCTCTAAAGTATTTGAGTATCTCAAATATAATAAAAATAACACAAATAATATGATTTCATTATGATCACTGTAGATGCCAGATGCCAGAAAATATATACTTTATTTCTTTAAACTACACTTTTCAAGAATGTTTAAGCACATCTGCTATTATAAAATTAATCTTGTTCTTTCAAAAATGTAAGTATTTAGGGGCTGTTTAAGCACATCTGCCATTATAAAATTAATCTTGTTCTTTCAAAAATGTAAGCATTTAAAATAATATGAAAAATATCTGGAGATAACCACTGAGCACTTAAATTTAGACATTAAGAAACAATTACTAGTGATGGAGTTAATTTTAAAACATCAAATCTGAGCTACCGTGCCTTTGCCTAAAGGGTATCTGGCAGGTGGATAAAAGATTCACTGGTCTCTGTTTAGGAGACTGCTGCAGACTTGCTGCTTCAGCAGGCTTTCACACTAGGCTTGAGTCGTACCAAACCTGGATCCTTTGCTGGCGTTGCAGCCCCTGAAGTGACAAGTATAGTAATCCGGGCTCAGCAAGGCTCCAAGGTGCATGCAGAACAACTGTCGTGTGCCACTGCAGAAGCTCCAAGGGAGAAAACACTTTGGGGCAGAAAATTTGGCTATTAATCTTTTAATAACCAACTATTTTGTATAAGCAACAGCAAATATTGATCTGAATGGGTACCTGGAAGAACTGCAAACTCTCCATTTCCTGCATTTCATTCTGAATGGCTCCATCCAGGGAGAACATAGAGGTCTGGAATATCGAAGGCACTGGTACGACGTTGTGTGATCTATCAGCTTAGAAAGTGTTCTCTGCCCCGGCCTCATAAGGTGTTTGAAGTTTTTCTTTGATTATTTTAAATGACATATTCCACGTGGGGGAACACTTGATTTTTGTGAGACAAAGTTTCTGCACAAAGAACCAAGACTGAGAAGATAAAATATATTGTGAAGACACACAATGAAGAGGCCTACAAAGCACTATGAGAGACAAGGACATGGTAAACAAATTAATTCAGAGAATGAAAGAGTTAGAGTACCCTTCTAGACTCTATCTACCTTGTATTAGCAACGAGGTCACCAACCAGCTTAGAGACCAGCACCAAAATGGCTAATATCTAACATGTGCCTCACTCAGAGTTGGCACAGGAAGACACAGTGACAGGGGTGACTTGAGATCCGGTGAGAAGCGAGGGGACTTGGAAATCAGAAATCACACACCACCCCGTAAGAGGTACTGGTTCAGGTTTGCCTCAGTAGTGTGAACACTGCTTTTACTTCCCTTGAGCTATCCGGTGTTCGAGATATGGCTGTATTCTCAGAGAGAGAGTAGGGAGAGTCGTATCAACCACGTGAGGAAAAAAGCACATCAATAATTGCTTAAGCTACTTGTGCAGAGACTGCCCGATTAGGCTATGAGGTATCAGTGGCTACCTGCCCTGCCTGAGATCCTACCAATCCACCAGCTGTGTCTCATGAAAACCTCTTCCTCTGTCTGCTACATTTTAGAAAGGCTTCAGGGAGTATGAAATAAGACTCCCTGGGCCATGCTGGACCAGATCAAGCATATATAGGAGGCTGTCCCTGCCTCTGTCTCTGTCCTTGTCTCTCTGTCTCTGTCTCTCTCCTGCTGATCACTGGCCACATGGCGGACCTCAGGGTGGGATGATAGAACCTGCCTTCCCACTTGCATTTACCCGCCCCCCCCCAGTCTCTTCAGGCTGACAGGGTCTCCTAGGTAAATCACAGAGGGAATTTCAAAAGCTGCTTCCCTTCCATGTCTGTAGCAAAAGACTGGCACTCCATAAGCTCTGAGCAGGATTTAAAAGTATCATTTAATGCAGTGTTTAGAATGAGGGGCAGAGAGAGCCGAAGGCAGAGTAAGAGAGGGAGCAGCGTGGGGCCTGGACATGCGGTTGCTGTGTGGCCGTCAGGGAAGGGAGTGTAAAAAGCTTCCTGCCTCATCCATAAAACCCAGAGCCACTTGGCGTCTCTCTGAGTAACAAACGGACCTCAGGGCTGGGGAGAAGGGCTGCTGACGGAAACAGTGCCGAGAGCTGTATGCACTCAGACGGTGCACACAGACCACAGATGACGAGCCTGTGCGCGTGTCTTTTCTACCTATGCCCCTGATTTTGCAGATTCTGCCTTGTCTCACCATCATAATTTCTGAACATAACAGAAGGTAGACGAACAGTGGAGATGAGAAGAAACAGTGCATCTGAGAAAAAGAAACTGTAAAGTTTGCTTCTGAGGAGCTGGAAAGAGGAGGGAGGTGTGAGCAAACACTGAGATAAACGAGGTGGAGGAGACACGGGAGGTCTTCCATCCTGGGAGGCCACCGTCCCAACTCCTAGGGTTCCTACTTTAGACGAAAACCTGTTGTCTGTAAACAATTCAAAATTGGCCTGAAGGTCTGAAGTATCTCCCTGTGTCTGAAGCTAGCTGAAAGCATGCATTTTCCACAGAGCAGAAAACAAAGCAAGAATCCTACAAATTCTACTGATTTGTTTTTAATCTCAGATCAAGTTTCACCAGAGTACTTAACTAGCTGGTGGACTAATAAATCTCCAGGAAGAGGGTTTCTCAGTGGACCCTGCAGCCACACGCATGCACACATACACGCACGCACACGCACGCATGCACACGCACATGCACACACACGCACAATTACAGTGTCAGTGTCTTGTTTGTCCCAGGGTGAACTCCTGGCACTGTTTTCTCTGTTTGAAATACGGAGGTAGCAGATTAAGTTGACACCAAAGAAATTACTTTCAAAATACGATTCCATTTCCTGCCCTTTGTATTAACAAAAGTAACTGTGTGCCCTGACTGTGAAAAGCACCCCTCCCCAGATAAGAAGAAAACAAAACAATAACAACAACCACCACCTTTACTTGTTGAAGAGATAGGAACAAGCAAGAGTTTACATCCTTATTTTTTTCAAGTCTGACACCGTTAACGTTGAAAAAGTTTGTAATTATCGGCCAGATTTACTCTGAGAGTGAAGTAGATATTTGGTAGTGTGCAGGACTCAGGCGGGCAGGCCGACCGTTCGAGCCCGACCCCGGGAGTCAGCGGCGCGGTTGTGCTGCTTCTTGAGTGAGATACTTTAGCATAGTTTAATTTCAGTCTTACAGCTGCTGTTGTAAATTCTTTGGAATTTCACTTGCTATAGTGTCGGAGTGAACCTTTTATGTTCTGGAAAATATTTAGGAGCCTACCCTAGGCACAAATGTAAATTGCTCAAAACCTTTCAGTGAAGTTTAAGCCTGAGCTTTGTGTCCTCCGGGTTATTTACAGGCACGGGTTTCTAAGCTCTTCTTTCCAGCACTGCTTAATTTCCGAGCCCTAAGTATGTCTATCACCACCGGTAATTCCACGCTGCTGCAGCCTTCCCAGCTGGAAAACTCATTTCAGGCATTCAGCACCTCGGCTAACTCCTCTGTACCCTCCGCCTGGCCTGGGCTGTCTATTCTACACATAAAAGAGCAGACTGGATACCCCCGTCTCTCTGTTTTATTTTTAATTAACTGATCAATAGTAATTGCATATATTACGGTGTGCAGTGTGACGATTCAATACATGTACACGTTGAGGTGTGATCAAATCGGGCTAATCAGCAACCCACCATTTCAAAGATTTATCATTTATTTGGATCCCTCTTTTAATCTCGTCCTGTCTCTAGAAAAGGTAACATGCAAAGACAACACATGTCATGTTTCACTAACAGCGGTTTACCCCAGGGAGCGCCAGCCTCACTGTGCACTTTAGCAGTTACTTTTCTTCGCATTTGATAATTCTCCTCTTCTGCAGCCGCAGACCAGGGCCGCCCTGTTGACGGGATCAGCGAAGAGACCCCTCCCCGAAGGCCGGCCCCGCGATCTCTTCTTCCATCGGCGAGTAACCCCGGGGTCCCGCCGGGGCTGGGAGGGACGTGCGATCTTCCGAGGGGCCTCCTGTCTCTCGCCTCCCAGAAGCCGACTACGCGAAACGTAACATAGTAGATGCAGAGCAAACCAGGGCGGCCGGCTCCGGGAAGGCTCGGTGCCCGAGGC